CATCATAATTATTGCTGAAGGCTTACTGTGCTACATGGCAAGATCCACATTCCAAATCCTGCCAATTAATACGTGGCTAGTTCACACCCATATCTATTTCGGATTCATCCCATAACTGGGTGAACTAACCATGCTTCGTGACAGCGATTTGTGATGCTACAAACCACAACCACGGACCATGCGAAGGCACGAAATCGCCAGGGTGCCACGTGGAAGCTTTCACCCAACCTCGGGACGAGGTGGGGTGATTTTTCCAGTGGATGGCTTGACTAGGCTTGACCACCATTCCAAAGGCCAACAAAAATCACAAATCAGATGGGTCTTGGGATGGAATTCTTTATAGTAAATGGTTACCCTCTGGTAAACTAACATAACTATGAAAAATCACCATTTTTAATGGGAAAATCCATTATAAATGGCAATTTTCAATAGCTATGTTAATTTACCAGAGGGTAAATGGTAAATGGTTATCAATCACCATCCCAATGCGAGACTTTGGCGCTTGGCAATTTGCTTCAGGAGTGCTCAGACCTCTGGCTGGTTTATGATAATGTGCGGGCTATGTACCTGTGCCTGGTTTCCGCCACCCCCAAACTCGGGCCTTCAATGGCAGCCAGCCACTCAGTCACAATCTCTCCTTCCTCTGCCTGCAGAATAAGATATTTGGCAGTTGGAGGTGCTGATGCTTCGGAGATATTACCTCTATTCTGATGTCCCCAACTCTTTGAGTTGCCAATTTTCTTAGTATCCCAAAATTGGAGAGGTTACCCCGGGCTTACCACTAAACAAAGTACATCTGTGACAATGCTTCGGCACACGCAGAAGACTCTCCTCTAATACTCCAAACGGGAATGTCCTGTTTACTATAGTGGGTATCCATTTTGGAGTCCCCGAAGTCCCATTTTCTTGGTCTTTGCCATGGTTGGGAGATGGGTATGTCTGCATAATAGGGTAACCCCAGATCCCATGGTATAGCATCAAGTTTCAAAGCAGCTGTATGCTGCTATTTTATGGCTACCTCGTAAATTTCAAACCCATAAATGACATACCCACATATCATATCAAGTTGGTTATGTACAGTATCCCCATGAAATATCACCATGAAACAATCTGCACATGAAATATGGGTATGGGTCAATACCTATAGATACATTTTTAGTGGGACGAACATCCATAAAATCCCAGCTATTTTGGGGTTCACTAGGTACCAGGGTTTTGACCCATCCCCATATCACCACGAAACAATCTGAGAGATTTGATGCAGCTCCAGTCACATCGAAGTAGCCCATGTCTCTGCGCTGCTTTGGCAGGGCCACATTCACCTCCACGACGAAACCCGAGGGTTTCTCCTTCCTGGGATCAACAAATCGCGCCTTTGCAAGCTATGTACATCCATGCTTGTCCCTAAGAAATGATCTACAGATTCTGGATGTGATACCCTCTGGTTATGTCAAAATAGCTATTGAAAATGACATAAAATGACCATTTATAGTGGATTTTCCCATTAAACATGGTGATTTTCCATAGTTGTGTTAGTTTACAGAGGGTATTTTCCATGACTGTTTTTATGCAGTTTACTGGTGGGTAGTCAACATCGGGATCATGTCATCATGTCAGGTAAGGCAGAGAAAACCAACATATTATCGATATGATCGATATTTTCCATTCTTTCTGAGGCCTTAGTCCCCTTTTGTCCCCTTTTAAAGGTGGTGAATTTCCAGTTTGGGGAGTAAAGTCGTTGGTCCCTCATTGGTGTGTGGTTCAATCCCAAGTTTTGTGCCCACCGAGACGCCGATGCTTTGGTGAGTCTCCTGGAGGATTTCCAAGCTGGACGGTCAGGCAAATATACATGGCGAGGCAGTACAATTGCTACTACTTACTGACACTGTGACTGTCATAAAATGTCATAAATATGCGACCACTGGTATTGGTACCAAGCATGTTAACATACATTATCATTACCACATCGTGTTTAATGATCTTTAGGCATCTTCCGTCATTAACCGGACTCCTGGTGCCCTGATGTTGGCGAACCTGCAAGCCCGGGAACCTGACAGGCAACGGGCATAGACACAGAATCTACCCAAATCAAGGACCATTCCAGGAACCTGAATTGGAGTTACCTACCATATGTCAGGTCTGTGTGTGTACTGTAAGGGCTATAAGGGGATATTTGGAAGTTTCCTAAAATGGGGGTACCCCTAAATCATCCATTTTTGTAGGATGTTCCATTATAAACCATCAATTTTTTGTTCATCCCCACTCCATTTGGCTTTAGGCTGAAAATTCCACCAGATGATCAATTCATATGAAGGAAGGGCCCCTTCCTGGAAGGGCAAATAAAAAAGGGCACCATGGAGCAGCGACATGCAAAAATGCTATATAATAATAAATACATAATAATAATAATAATGATAAAAATAATAATAACAATAATACACACATGTATATACTGTAATATATTATAATATACTACAACATGAAATGCAATGTTATATAATATAATATAACATAATACAATAAAGTGCAGTGTAAATATAATAATACTTAAAAAAACATATATATATATATATACATATATATTACAATATAATATACAATACACAAGATGATATATAATATAAAATGTAATATAACATAAAAATATAATATAATATAATATAATAAAATATAATATAATATAATATAATATATTATATGTAGTATATAATATAATATACAATGATATGTAAAACAGCATGTACCATAGACATAATATGGAATTTAACATATAATAAAATATGGTATATATAATATACGTATGTGCAGCATATATAATATCATATAATATCATATAGTATAGTATAGTATAGTATAATACTATATTACACAATATGATATTATATTATTATATCATATACTATAATATCATATTATATTGATACTATATTATATATTATTATATTATAAATCATAATTGCCAAACATATCCTCAAAGAAGAAAAACAAGATGCACCACCCATGCATTGGATAATAACATATTTCCGAAGCAATGGAACGGTTCGCAAAACTTGCCTCCGGGACAAGTACTGAAAGAAGGAACAAAACTGTTGGCCATCATGATCATACTGCAACGGCCAGTCGGATTAAGTGATAAACCCGGAAACTGAGCGTTTGTGGATCATCCTACAACATGTCATTTCCACATATCTTTGACAACCAGTGTCCACCACCTCATATCCATATCCCTCTATCACAGATCGATTTTGGACACCCAATATTTCTCAATAGTGTTTCCACTTGTGTTTCCAGATCTATGCGTGATTTTGTGCACATCATCCCTTGTGTTCTTAAGCTACCAGTAGATATCATCCAGCTTCCCATGTGTTTTCCATCTCAAGCGAGACTGGCCCGGCCTGGTCCCAAAGCGAGTTCGCAAGTCACGACCTGCTGGTCACCTTGCGGCTAACATGATGATTCTTATGCAACGATCAGCGACCATTCTATGGCAAGTGGGTGGTCAATTCAAGGCGTCTTCATGAAACAGCAAATGGACGGGTCATGTTTCCTTTTTTTTGCGCCCGATAAAATAGGCACAAAAGAACTCAGACTGCCACTGCTCCACCCCAACTGAGCTGCAGGCTATCAGCGAAACATTTGAAGCCATTCTGGTCCAAGACCTCGTTGGACCATATGAATGTGCAAAGCTAAAATGTCAATGAGTACCATCCGATTCAATTTTGGGGAGATATATTTATCATACACCTTTTAGGAGGGTGATGTAATTGAAAGCCAAATGGTTGAGCTGCAGGGGCCATCTTTACCATTGACTTCCCAATCAAAAGGGGTGTGGGGTATCTATCTATGCCATGCAATGTGTTATTTCTTTATACTATATACAGTATGGTATACTAGTTCGATCTATTTCATATCTGCATCTAGATCCATGTGTATCCATATAATATATAGTATGATACATCAAATATAACGAAATATACCGTTGTGTGTGTGATGGCTTCTTGAATTTTCTTTATGACACTGTCACTATCCGCTCATTACTTTTCCTCTTCTTCATCTACCCAACTTAAGTCCCACGATATCATTGCTTCAGCACCCTGTGTCTCCCTTGACACCAAGGTATCGGTTTCCAAACAAGATTGGTCGTAGCTTGTTCGAAGTTTATTGAACCATGGCTACTCTTAAGCACGCTGCATGTGTTGTTGTTGTTGCTGCTGCTGCTGTTGTTGCTGCTCTTGCTGGTGCTGCTGTTGCTGCTGTTGCTGCCGTTGCTGTTGTTGCTGTTGCCCCAGTCTGGGACAAACCCATATGTGAAGAAACTATCATAAACTATCATCAGCTACCCATAAAGACCCAGACTACCTCACTTTTTGGGGGCCCATCATACTCAGCCTATAGCCATGTTGCTGGACACCGCCGAGGTCCGAACACACCACTGTGGACTCCGAGCACTATCCACTGCTGGACCTCTCTTCAGCAACCAACCCTCCTTCACAGCCATGGCAGCCGAAAACTCGGAGGAGTTTTTTTTGGTCAGCAAATTGTGGTTGAAATGTCGAAAATTGAATTTGAGTATATTTGAATCATTCTCATTTTCCACGGCTGATGATGTCGTTTGGTGATGTTTGGCGGGCATAAACATATTGCATGTCTGAAAAGACCTGGAAGGGCGTCTGTTCTTAATCTTGATAGGAATGGCTGGCGGGTTCAGGGAAGCCACTTGGGCAACGCTATGGAATTGCGGTGAAGTTTGCTATCTGCTATCTGATATACTTGACAACCTTGTTTGACTGTCCAGTTTGACTGCTTTATGCTTTTATCTTGCTGAATGTTGTGATTTATGGCATCCTGGGAGGGACCCAAAATTGGCATTCACGCACATGATGTGCCCGCGCAGATTCTGCGACTCTGAAGCTGAAATGTCACGCACATGGCCAAGCAACCTGACAAACTCTGAACACTGCAACTTGACCCAGGTGAAACACGTTGCAGTCAGATAAACTTCACTGATAAACCGACATTTCTCGACGCGATGCTGTTTCCTCTGACGCAAACTTCTGCATTTCTCCATAGCCGCTATGAAGGCACAGCCTCTCCGAACATCTCCAGGCACAACATGACCAAATCCCCACAAAGTCATACTAACTCCTATACGCTCAAAAAACAAAACAACAGAATAACAGATGTCCGACAGAGTCTGACATAAACCATAGTGACCTTAGTGACCCATATCTTTCCCTACATCTTTTAGAAAAAAAACGTCAGATAAACCAACCGAACTGATCCACCACATCTCCCCGCTGCTGTGGCGCCCCGTCTCTGGATGCGACGTCTCAGCTCAGCGGCCATGGCCTCAAGACCAAAGGGGTCGCTCTCGGACCTGGCGCTGCTGATCCAAGTGGGGCTTTCTGCAGACAGTTTTTTTTTCAAGTTGGGATCATTGGAGTCAATTTCAGTAATTTGGATATGGTTTGGGATATTGATATACTATAATATTACTATATATATATATATCTATATGAGTATGGTTGCGACCAGAAGGTTTTAAACTAAAGTTTTAAACGTTTGTTTGCAGACTAAAAAGGTCAGTGTCGAAACCTTGTCTGGACATCCGTGGCGGGAGACGGGGGGGGTCGGCAGAAACAAACTAACTAATGGAAAAAAGGTTTGTTTTAGAGGAGGAAAACAAACGTTTTCGACGGATGGTGAAACTATAGTTTCGGGCCTTCAAAACAAAGGTTTTCGACGGGAAAAGTTAGTTTCCGGGGGGTGAAACAAACCTTTTCCAGGAGGGGTCGGCGAGGGTTGAGAAACAAAAGTTTCAAAACTAGAGTTTGAAGTTTCCGAAACAAACTTTTCCAGACCAAGGTGAGAGAGTTAGTTTGTTTGCAACCACGGCCACGCGCTTGGCAACTATTTTCGCCGTGCGGACTGGTTCGGTTAGCCTCGGCGGGCGTATTCTACAACTAGCTGCCGGTTGGCATAACTACTGTTATGCCATTCATTGACCGCGCGCTGCGCGGCAGCTGGAGCAGCATAGCGAATGATAGCAGCGGCGTGCTGCGGTTTGCAGCGAACCTTGGTAGCAAAGAAACAGCAACAAGGAACAGCAGCCAACAACAACCCAACAATAACCAACAGCAACTAACAACAACCAACCAGGACAAGAACAGGAACAAGAACAAGAAGAAGGACAAGAACAAGAACAAGAACAACAAGCAACCGCAACGAGAACAAGAATTAGAAGCGAAGACAGCAGCAACAGTTCAAGAGCACAATCTTAGAATGTCGAAACAAGACGCCAGTTGGGAACAAAAGAAGCAGAATATGATGCGACAGACACGAAGCCCGTTCACACGGAACTGTTTTGGAGATGGAATTGGCTTGCTAGCATGGAAACCAAAAGGAACTATCGTTATATGAAGATCACGCCGGCTGAGATGATGTGGAACAATGTGGATCGCATCGAACAGAAGCAAACAGGGGTGTAGTATATTGAAGTAATTATTAGACGTTGCTGCAAAGAGGCATCCACATGCACAATGGCTCCCAAAACAGCGAAGTCAGCGCGCAGCTGTTCTGCTGTGATGTCTGCGGGAAGGTTCGCCACGAACACCACACGTCGCCATGCGGGTTGGAAAGACGTGGCGGAGCCGGAAAGGTGGTGCTTGGATGGCGGAGCCGTGTCTGTTGGGAACAGAAGGCGGGGCGGAGCCGGAACGCAGTTGGATGAAGTGTGAAAAGCAAAACCAAAATCAACCAAAGAAAATACACGGACGACAAAAGGAAGCGAAGACGGTAGGCACAAACATTTGCGGAAGCAAAACATTAGTTGCCAGAAAGAAAACAAAAGTTTGGAAACATTTGGAAACTATAGTTTTTTTCAGCGGAAACAAACGTTTTGCGGAAACGTTTGAAACAGCACGAAAAAACAAACACAGTACCCCAATGGTGGAAAGGTTTATTTTTCCGGAAGAAACCAAAGTTTGCCTAAAGGGTTTGTTTCCAGTGACAAAACAAACTTCGCACAATATACTTTCAAACAAAGGTTTCCAACAAAACAAACAAACAAAACTACCGAAAAAAAGGTTTGTTTTGGAGAGTTTCAAACTAGTTCGGTGGAAGTTTGTTTCAAGGTTTCGGTTTAAAAACAAAGGTTGTGGAAAAAGGTTTGTTTGCGACGAGAAAACAATTCTTTTCGATCAAAAACTTTAGTTTCCAAAGGAAAAACCTTGGTTTTCAATGAGGTTTCCAGCCGTGCCAATGCATATTGGCAGCAAACGTTAGTTTCGACTGCAGAAACAAACCTTTTCTTGTGCCGCTGAACGTTTGTTTCCTATCATGAAACTGAGGTTTTGCAACGGGGAACGTTTGTTTTTACTGGAAAACAAACTCTTGGGTGCAACCCTACTGATCTATATGGATATTATATATATATAATTATGAAAAAAGGACATTTCAAGTGACCCTGTCAGGGTCTCTGTGTGTGTGTTTGCCCAAAGATTTTAAGACATTTTGAGTTGTGAAGATCCTTAGGGAGATGTTAATGCATGTAATTCTGATTTATCAATCGAGATGGAGATATGAGATGGATATGAGATACGCTTCAAACTCAGCTAAACAATTCGAAACCGCAGTTTTTGTGGCCTTTGTGGTCCATTCAATAATCTGGTGGTGCTGCTGGTGACATCAACGCATGTCAAAGGTGGATGTATATACATACTGTGTCAACAAAAACATGGATGGTACATATCGTTACACTCATTCATACATACCTATATAAAATATTATAACATTATATATAATTATATATATAATTATATATATGTATGTATGTATGCATGCATGCATGCATGCATGTATGTATGTATGTATGTGGATATGTTGACCAACGCTGGTTGGTGGTTTCAACTGCCCCAAGTGCCATTCGTATTTTTTGGTCATCTCCACTGCATCTCCACTGCCATGGCTGGGTTACCCTGCTGGGCAGAATGAGCCTGGCCACGATTTAACCAGCAAATATTGCGATAAAAAACCTGCAAATATATGGATTTCACACGCCAAAATTAGGCTTCACCCCTGGAAATTTTACATATAACTATGGAAAATCACCATTTTCATAGGTAAATTCAAACTACAAATAGGCCATGTTCAATCGCTACATGAAATTACCGGAGGGTACACACCCTGTTGGGGATGCCAACACGCCCGGCGGTAGGTTCTGATCCACTCCACATACGGTAGGTGTCTTGGAGATGACCTTTAAACCATGATTAAACATGCTCAAACTATCAGTATATGTATATATATATATTATATATATTATATATTTATATATATTTAATTATATATCTGGTTGGTGGTTTTAACCATCTTGAAAAATATTAGTCAATGGGAAGGATTAACCCATATATTATGGAAAATAAAACATGTTTGAAACCACTAACCATATATATATACACATTATTTTTGATGAACATATCTGATTCTAATATATTCTAACATTTATAATTAATTATATAATCCATTGGAATTTGTTTTTGCCAACATGTTCAGGTACCAACGCCATAAAAACATATAAAAACCTCCATGAACACATCGCCCGTGGCAACCTTCCCAAGGGCCAGGGCCTGCTGCCAGTTCAACAGTCGACCATACTCCGAGCGCAGCTGCGCCACTTTGCCACTCAGATCCAAGGAGGCCTCCGGTGACCCAGGCCATATCAGGGAAGGGAAAAAAATGGGTTGAAGATGTGGTCACCAAAGACGGACACAAACATGGTTTGGGGGAAAACTAGTGCTGCCAAATGTCTGTTTTTTTCACTATGAATATAGTCGGAAAAAAAACAAGTGTATTTATCTATTGATTATGCAAAGGATAGTAATGCTTCCCCAGCATTTACGTAAACAATTTGCTGATGCTTGATGTGAGCACTAGTAACTAGAGACATGCTACACAACCCATGGGCAGTCATAGCATCACTCAATTAGTGGTTCACTACATATCTATGCAGCGAGCGAGTCTTATACAAGGCGCACAAATTGACTAGCTGAGTGGCATGCTTGGATGAGGGATCGCAGATATGATATCACGTCAAGATACATCAACTAGAACTAGTAACGAATCCCAAGACAACTCTTCGGGAATCAACAGGACTTGATCTGTTGATGTCTCCCCCACATTTCCCCTTCATCACAATCTTTCAATAATAAATGCTCTATACCTGGATGACAATCCTATTTAGCCCTGGTTCATGTTGGTTATGCAGCCCTGGTGATCGTAGCTACCTGGCCGTGCCTCGCAGCGCAGCTTTTTTCTCCCGATGGAAAATAGCTTTATTGGGGGGTCTCTGGTAATTTAACATAGCTATTGAAAATGGCCATTTATAGTGGATTTATCCATTAAACATGATGATTTTCCATAGTTGTGTTAGTTTACCAGATGGTATATCACCCATTTTCAGACACACCTATACTACTCGGCGTTAAAATGGGATGGTCATTGGAGTCAGTGCGTGGTACCCACTTCACCTGCTGTCATCACTGGTTGGTTAGTGTTAAAACATCGTTGAACCAGTCCGTCGAAGTAACACATGTTCAAGCAACAGTAATAAGGAACTAGTAACCAAACAACCATCACTTGTAAGTGATCTCCCCTTTCTTTAAGGGTCAATATACCAAATAAATCCAAATAACTACCAGTGTAAATTCCTTAGTCCATATATATATATATATATATAGGGTGGATATCACGTTGGTTTCTTCAAACAACAATTTTTGGTACAAAATGTAGCTTTGGGAAATTGTGGTGCTTCCAAGTGCTTCAACCGGTCATACAAAACCGCTCAATTTTTATCTAGGTTGAATCAATGCATCGCACAAACAACACAGAATATATACCAAATAAGTATAGTATAGTATAGTATGGTATAGTATAGCATAGCATAGCATAGTATTAGTATAGTATAGTAACATAATGTAACATATATTTAAATATAGAGTAACTATCTATATATTATTATCCATCTGTAGTTACCACCCCAAAATAATACGCAAACATCGGAACGTGATTTCCCATAAACAACTCAGCTATCCAGC